GGTAAGCGTGGGAAACTTAATCCGAGGTACATTGGACCCTTCGAGATCCTCTCTAGGATCGGTCCGGTTGCCTATAAACTTCGTTTACCTCACGAACTCAGTAACATTCATCCTGTCTTCCATGTTTCAAATCTCAAAAAGTGCCTATCCGATGAAACCCTAACGATTCCCATAGACGAGATCGAGATCAATGAAAACCTCAACTTTGTGGAGGAACCGATCGAAATCATGGATCGAGAAGTCAAACGTACAAAGCAAAGTCGCATCCCGTTAGTGAAGGTTCGCTGGAATGCCAAGCGGGGACCGGAATTCACTTGGGAGCGGGAAGACTCAATGAAACAGAAGTATCCACAACTCTTTCCAGATCCATGATTTGTATCTTGTCTCGTGTTTTAACTTTGAATTTCGGGACGAAATTCCCTCTAACGGGGGGATAATGTAACAACCCGAAATTCCGTACCACTTCTTGTAACTCTTTCGTAGTTCAATTCAAGCAACCAATCGTCGTTACCAAATCCGATTCCGATATTCTTGTTTAATTAAGTCATTAACTTGAACGTATCTAAAAGGACTTAATGGGTGTCTTAATACATTTAGAAATCATTTTAACACCCCATATTAGTGATCGGAATATTTCTAGAATTTACCATGTCGGGTTACGGCAACCTAATCGGGTATGACCAAAAGCCTCGCCTAATGCCGGTATCGGGTAGAATTCCACCGTGTCCAATACTTAGACACTATATAATGTGTTCTAAGCCTTCATTTGAAGCTTTTGGCTTCATCTCACTACTCTCTCTCTCTAACCTCTCTCCTCACTTGATACATGTGTGGAAGTGACAAATTCTGAAAATGATAATGGTTACAAGGTGGATTTTGGAGGAGACCATGGAATGCATGCTAGCTTTAATGTGGGAGACCTTTTACCTTATCTTGATGATGATGGACTTGATGAATTTAGGTGAATTCCTTTCAAAGGGGGAGGGGATGATCCATGCATGGATTATGAAATCCCAAAAGGTGATGGATTAGTGATTACTAATGGGCTAGAAGGTAGCTTGGGCTCAATGGTTGGGTTGTGCATGGTAACCCACAAATTGAATTAGGGTTGCATGAAGGCTTGGGCAACATTTTTAAGGATTCATAAGTGCTAAAAACGTTACTTTTTGCTTCATAAAGCCTCCTAGCCGTTTTTATCACTCTTTGGTGGATTAGGGTTACACTTTAATGCTTCTGATGGCTCATTAACGCATCTTATGGCTCCTTAATGAAGCATAGACGTTTTTTCTTCATCCTCAAGTGTCTTGGACGTTTTTTTTTTGTGTTATTTCAAGAGTTTCCTTAATTTTCATTTACTAGTTTTAATGAATAATTGGTTGGTTGGCTTGTAACCACCAAATTTGTAATAAAGGATTTATATAAAGCCACGTTTATGCATGGAAAAAATAATAGACAAATTTTTAATCAACGAACCCTTTTGTTCACTTTGAATTATTGTTATAATTCACAAATTATCTTGTTGGGACGTGTTCTTCACTTGATACGAACTCAATCCAATAGGTCTTGGATTGTTTTCACCGGTATACAACTTAATAGGTCTTGAGTTGTTACTAATCTATCCATTTCTTTTCATTCCATATATTTGTGGTTGTTATTCTAGCTTAATTTACCTAAACACTACCCTACTCACTAAATCAAGCCCATGCACACATCATAAGTGGTATCAGAGCCCAGTTCCGATTGGGTGTTGTTGAGTTCTTGTTCAAAAAAAAATCCTACCGAGTTTGATTTTAGTTCCTATCCAGAATTTGTTTTCCAAAATGTTGCACAAGTTATATGTCACACCCCCGAACCAGACGGCGGAAACGTCCGGGGGCTATTGTGACTCAATTGAATACCATTACAATGAATATACATGAAACATAACATCATACATCACCCAGCATTGGAATAATACAACTGGTAACGTTTACATCCCTTACATTGTCTCAAAATATTACATCCCCAAAATAAATTGTTCATTGTTACTTAATCAACCGCAATCAATCATAGAGTACAATCCTTTCTTCACTTATTTGTTACTTGAGAATACAAGTATTTTGGAAAAACGTCAACATATGAAATGTTGGTGAGTTCATAAGTAATGTTTAAAATCCAATGTTTGTATTGTTTTGAAAACCGCCAGAAAATCCGATATTTTCTGAAAATAGTATAGCGTAAAAAGAAATACGTGAAGATCCGTGAGTATGCTTGTTTGTTTTCTATAGATGTAAGCGTACGAGTTGTGAAATTCGCATGTAGTTCGTAAGTGTACTAGTTGAAAACCCTAGGAAAACCCGATGTTTTCCTATCACTTTGCTTTAATTAGTTTATGTGTTATTGTTTCGTTACGTTAGAGGTATTCGTTGAGCTCCGGAGGCATTGAGTATACAGTGGGTGGTGAATTGTTTGTAACGTCCGTTAATGAAAACGTCCAGTCGACAACCGTACTAGCGATCCCTTAGGCGTCACTCGCACTTATTCACACAACTCAATCCTCCCGGACTTGTGTAGTCCCACGACCGAAGAGAAAAAGAGAAGGTGCGAAACCCTCGGTATTTCCCTACGTCGTTCAAGACCATTGCAATTGCGAAGGGCCCGAAGCCCAACCCGCAATCGTGAGTTCCCGACTTTACTAGCAGCACCGAAGGACCCTTGGGGACCAGCAGCACGTTTGCCATTGAAAGTCCTTTTACACGCGGTTAAGTCGTATTAGACCCAACTACATGTAAGCAAGTATCCTTTGGGCCTAAAGATCATGTCATCGGGCTAGCTAGGCTCAACAAGCATGATTTGCAACTTTTGGGCCTAAGGAGTGTACGTCGACGTATTGAGTAATTCCACGAGAGTATAGAGTTCCGAGAGTTCCATATGTGTATTGAGCGTTGTAGTGTTAGTAGTTTTGGATTTGTTATTGATTCGAGACCGAATCAATTCGTTTAACAACGATTTTTGGTATTGTTGTGTATTGTGTCGGTAGTCGCGGTGCCAATATTCGATCAAGTTGCGTGTATTGAATTAGCCTTGAAGTTTTCTGTTTTCAGCCCCTCATTGTTTGTAAAATTTACTTTTTCAACCCTCTAATTAAATAACCTTTCGGTTTGGTCCTTAAATCATTTTTCTTGACATTTTAACACCAAAAATTATTGAAATTAATATTTTTCAGCATATTTTTCATTGAAAACAGTTTAAGTCCCTGAAATTGCAGTTTTCTCGGTTATAACCCCTCTTTTTCGCAGTTTTTACAATTTTGGCCCAATTGGAAAATTTTTGCAACTTTGGTCCTTTTTAAATTTGAAAAGCATTTTAAACCTTTGAAAAGTACTTGTAACACTAGTAGTCCACTGTTTTACAGAAAAACACAGTTTTGGCCCTCCAAAACAGAAAATTTCGCATAATGGGCCCTATTGGGCCGAAATTGTCATTTTTAGCCCATTAAGCTTGAAATTTATGTTTTTAATCCTCCAAAAGAGTATATTTTCAGAAAATACATTATGGAAACTGTTTTGACTCATCTCACCCATCAGATTTCGAAATATTTCATTTTGGCCCTTCAACTTTGTATTTTTAACATTTATGTCAAAAAAATGAGTTTTTAGCCCAAAGTATGTATTGTTAAGCCACTTAGCTATTTTTCTTGGTATCCTTTGTATGTAGTAGTATGTTTTATATTAGTATCATTTAACATAAAGTATATCTCGGTTTTTTTGTGATTTATGACTAGATCCAACATCATAATCATACCAAACACACATATAAGCATAGAAATCATACAAAGCATACACATAATGATAGATCTACACCTTTGCTTGTATTCTCCCCACAAAAACTGAAAATAAGGGGGTATGAAGCTCACCTTTGGATGTTGATTCGGTTTTTGAAGAACGGATGGAAGAAAGCTTGGTGATTTTTGACCCTAGCACCCCTTGATGAAGTTTTCGAGTTTATGGAGTTTTCTAGGATGCAAGATCGATTTTGCATGGATTAGGAAGAGTTATTTTGATAAAACAAAGAATCTAAGTTATAGATCCAAGCATAACCTTACCTTAGATGAAGAGTTTGTGGAAATATCCTCTTGAAAGCCTCCTAATTTTCGAGATTTTTGATTGGAGAGGAAGGATGTGTTCTTGAGCATTCTAGAGAGAATTTGTGAGATATTTGTGTATGTGTGTGTGTGTTTCGGCCGAGAGTGAGTGAGAGGGAAAAAGAAGTGATCTTTGAAGTGATATGCTCCTAGAAGTATGAGAGGTGCATGGAAACATGTTGGATACAAGTGAGGTGGCATGCAAATAGTCAACACTTCTCCATTTCTTCTTGGACTTGGGCCTTGGGCCGAGAATGTGAAAGGAAAAAGGAAATTTGGGCTTCAATGCTCTCAAGCCCATGTAAAAGTTAAGTTAGATGAGTTTTTAACCTAAAAAAAAAATATAATATGATTTTCATATTTTGTTGGGCTAGTTTCGGTTATTCATGGATCAAAGCTTTTAATTCATTTCATTCTAGGCCTAATATGGCCCATAATGTTGAAATAAATTAGTGTGGGTTCAATTAGAGCCCATATAAGGGTTCTAAGCCCATGGGTCCAATAAGGAAGTCCCAGTCCAAAATGGAAGTCCCAGTCCAAAATGGACTTAAACGAGAACTTCTAGGGTTTCCAATTTCTTGATGACCATTTGTATTACTTGTACGATGTATTTTTTTGAAGTTTTTGATGTCATAATAATAGGTATCACACATGCTCTTAAGTTTTTGACTCAAGCTTTACTTGAGTTTAGTGATTACAAGACACAAAATTTCTAGTTGTGACATTATATGATGAAGAAGAAATAGAGGAAGAGAAAATTGAAGAAGAAGATGAGGAAGACAATTATGGTCCCATCTACGACACTGATGGGGAAGGGGAATTTTGCGAAAGAATAAATTTCTTGTTTGAAGAGGAATTTATTGAAAAAATCACTTTCATGGTTGGAGATGAAATTATTGAAGACTCTAGCCCTATCTATGATATTGATGGGGAAGAGGATCATGAAGAAATTGAAAAACAAATAAATTTTGTGCTTGGAAACGAAATAGTTGAAATGTTTTTGAAACAAAACGATTTTGTTGTTACAAACAAAATTGGTGAAGAAAAGGTTAAAGAATCCGAAGAGGTGGAGCAGGTTGTTGACCACGAAGATGTGGTTGTGGTTAAGAAGGATGATACCTATCTTATAACAAACTCTCTTTCTAAGAGCCTAGAAGAAGGAGTAACCCATTAAGTTCCAAGTTCTAAGGAGTTACAAGGGAGGGAGTTCATAATGCTTGGATTCCTATTCTTTTGGTGTGCCTTAAATTGGGAAGCCATGATATTGGGGCATGATGCTCATCAACTTACAAATACAAATGATGTTCCATTTGTTAAAATGACTGCAATTAACCATTTAAATCATTGCAAGGTTAATTTGCAGGGTCGAGTTCATGGGAAGGTACGAAAATGGTTTTTGATCCACAAATGGAAGATACGGTTAGGATTCAGTTATATGAGTTGTTTGAAGAACATGTGTATTTGGAGAAGAGACCAGCTTGGAGTAAATAAAATGTCACATTCTGCAATAAAAAATTATTTTCAAGACCTGTTGTCATGGAAGGTTTGCATGGGAGAACAACACAATTCGGTTCTTATTGAATTGAGGACAATTCCTTTCGAAGAAGGAGGGAATGATACATGTGTGGAAGTGACAAATTCCGAAAATGATAATGGTTACAAGGTGGATTTAGGAGGAGACCATGGAATGCATGCTACCTTTAATGTGGGAGATCTTTTACCTTATCTTGATGATGATGGACTTGATGAATTGAGGCCAATTCCTTTCAAAGGGGAAGGGGATGATCCATGCATGGATTATGAAATCCCAAAAGGTGATGGATTAGCGATTACTAATGGGCTAGAAGGTAGCTTGGGCTCAATGGTTGGGTTGTGCATGGTAACCCACAAAATTGAATTAGGGTTGCATGAAGGCTAAGGCAACATTTTTAAGGATTCATAAGTGCTAAAAACGTTACTTTTTGCTTCATAAAGCCTCCTAGCCGTTTTTATCACTCTTTGGTGGATTAGGGTTACACTTTAATGCTTCTGATGGCTCATTAACGCATCTTATGACTCCTTAATGAAGCATAGAACGTTTTTTCTTCATCCTCAAGTGTCTTGGACGTTTTTTTTTGTGTTATTTCAAGAGTTTCCTCAATTTTCATTTACTAGTTTTAATGAATAATTGGTTGGTTGGTTTGTAACCACCAAATTTGTAATAAAGGCTTTATATAAAGCCACGTTTGTGCATGGAAAAAATAATAGACAAATTTTTAATCAACGAACCCTTTTGTTCACTTTGAATTATTGTTATAATTCACAAATTATCTTGTTGGGACGTGTTCTTCACTTGATACGAACTCAATCCAATAGGTCTTGGATTGTTTTCACTGGTATACAACTTAATAGGTCTTTAGTTGTTACTAATCTATCCATTTCTTTTCATTCCATATATTTGTGGTTGTTATTCTAGCTTAATTTACCTAAACACTACCCTACTCACTAAATCAAGCCCATGCACACATCATAAGTGGTATCATACCACTTATGATACGTGTATGGGCTTGATTTGATTAGTAGGGTAGTGTTTAGGTAAATTAAGAGAGAATAACAACCACAAATGATATGTGAATGGAAAGAAATGGATAGATTAGTAACAACTCAAGACCTATTAAGTTGTATACCGGTGGAAACAATCCAAGACCTATTGGATTGAGTTCGTATCAAGTCAAGAACACGTCCTAACAAGATAATTTGTGAATTATAACAATAATTCCAATTGAACAAAGGTTTTTTTCTTAAAAATTCGTCTATTATCTTTCCCATGCATAAACTTGGCTTTATATGAAGCCTTTATTACAAACTTGGTGGTTACAAGCCAACCAACCAATTATTCATTAAAACTAGTAAATGAAATTTAAGGAAACTCTTGAAATAACACAAAAAAAACGTCTATGCTTCATTAAGGAGCCATAAGAAGCATTAATGAGCCATAAGAAGCATTAAAGTACAACCTTAATACACCAAAGAGTGCTAAAAACGGCTAGGAGGCTTTATGAAGTAAAAAGTAACGTTTTTAGCACTTATGAAGCCTTAAAAATGTTGCCATAGGCTTCATGCAACCTTAATTCAATTTGTGGGTTACCATGCACAACCCAACCATTGAGCCCAAACCACCTTCTAGCCCACTATTAATCACTAATCCATCACCTTTTGGGCTTTTAAAATCCATGCATGGATCATTCCCTCCAACTTTGAAAGGAGTTGACCTCAATTCATCAAGTCCATCATCATCAAGATAAGGTGAAAGATCTCCCACATTAAAGGTAGCATGCACTCCATGGTCTCCTCCCAAATCCACCTTGTAACCATTTTCATTTACAGAATTTGTCAATTCCACACATGTATCATTCCCTCCTTCTTCAAAAGTAATTGTCCTTAATTCGGTAATAACCAAATTGTGTTGTTCTCCTATGCAAACCTTCCATGACAGCAGGTCTTGAAAACAAATTTTTATTGCAGAATGTGGCATTTTATTTACTCCAGGTTGGTCTCTTCTCCACATACACATGTTCTTCTTCAAACAACTTAAAGAACTCATAGAATTTAATCCTAACCGTATCTTCCATTTGTGGATCAAAAACCATTTTCGTACCTTCCCATGAACTCGACCCTGCAAATTAACCTTGCAATGATTTAAATGGTTAATTGCAGTCATTTTAACAAATTGAACATCATTTGTATTTGTAAGTTGATGAGCAGCACGCCCCAGTATCATGGCTTCCCAATTTAAGGCACACCAAAAGAATAGGAATCTAAGCATTATGAACTCCCTCCCTCGTAGCTCCTTATAACTTGGAACATGATGGGTTACTCCTTCTTCTAGGCTCTTAGAAAGAGAGTTTGTTATAAGATAGGTATCATCCTTCTTAACCACAACCACATCTTCGTGGTCAACAACCTACTCCACCTCTTCGGATTCTTCAACCTTTTCTTCACCAATTTTGTTTGTAACAACAAAATCATTTTCTTTCAAAAACGTTTCAACTATTTCGTTTCCAAGCAAAAAATTTATTTCTTCTTCAATTTCTTCATGATCCTCTTCAATAATTTCATCTCCAACCATGAAAGTGATTTTTTCAATAAATTCCTCTTCAAACAATAAATTTATTCTTTCGCAAAATTCCCCTTCCCCATCAGTGCCGTAGATGGGACCATAATCGTCTTCCTCATCTTCTTCTTCAATTTTCTCTTCCTCTATTTCTTCTTCATCATATAACTTGTGCAACATTTTGGAAAACAATTTCTGAAGAGGAACTAAAATCAAACTTGGTAGGATTTTTTTTGAACAAGAACTCAACAACACCCAATCGGAACTGGGCTTTGATACCACTTATGATGTGTGCATGGGCTTGATTTAGTGAGTAGGGTAGTGTTTAGGTAAATTAAGCTAGAATAACAACCACAAATATATGGAATGAAAAGAAATGGATAGATTAGTAACAACTAAAGACCTATTAAGTTGTATACCAGTGAAAACAATCCAAGACCTATTGGATTGAGTTCGTATCAAGTGAAGAACACGTCCCAACAAGATAATTTGTGAATTATAACAATAATTCAAAGTGAACAAAAGGGTTCGTTGATTAAAAATTTGTCTATTATTTTTTCCATGCACAAACGTGGCTTTATATAAAGCCTTTATTACAAATTTGGTGGTTACAAACCAACCAACCAATTTTTCATTAAAACTAGTAAATGAAAATTGAGGAAACTCTTGAAATAACACAAAAAAAAACGTCCAAGACACTTGAGGATGAAGAAAAAAACGTCTATGCTTCATTAAGGAGTCATAAGATGCGTTAATGAGCCATCAGAAGCATTAAAGTGTAACCCTAATCCACCAAAGAGTGATAAAAACGGCTAGGAGGCTTTATGAAGCAAAAAGTAACGTTTTTAGCACTTATGAATCCTTAAAAATGTTGCCTTAGCCTTCATGCAACCCTAATTCAATTTGTGGGTTACCATGCACAACCCAACCATTGAGCCCAAGCTACCTTCTAGCCCATTAGTAATCGCTAATCCATCACCTTTTGGGATTTCATAATCCATGCATGGATCATCCCCTCCCCCTTTGAAAGGAATTGGCCTCAATTCATCAAGTCCATCATCATCAAGATAAGGTAAAAGATCTCCCACATTAAAGGTAGCATGCATTCCATGGTCTCCTCCTAAATCCACCTTGTAACCATTATCATTTTCAGAATTTGTCACTTCCACACATGTATCATCACTCTAAATTAAGGTCCAAAATCAAAGATTTAAGGCTCCAAATCATAGAGGTAACCTTCCTAACTTGTTATTCAACCTCTTAGGCCTTCAAATCTGAGTTCAAACTGAAATTTAGGACCTGGAACATGTGTTTACGGCCAAAGATGAAGCTTGGGCCGTAAACACACAATAATGGGGTTTTTGAGCCATTTATGTCACACCCCGAAAATCAAAGGCGGAAACATTTCCGAGGTGGACTACCACGTTGTGTATCAAATCCAATGTACATAGTAATCACAGTAACAAACATTACATTACATATATATATATATATATATATATATATATATATATATATATATATATATATATATATATATATATATGAAAGTTTACCTTTGTTTCAAAAGTAAAGTTATACAAGATATACATATGCATCATATTAACAAAAGTTGAGACGAGTCTTCCACGCACTCCGTCTTCATCAAAAGAGATCACCGGGTACCTGTCTAACTTGGACCTGAGAATACAAGCGGTTTGAAAATCAGCATAAAGCTGGTGAGTTCATAAGCGGTTTTGTTTTATGAAAATGTATTGGTTTCCTTTAGTTTCCGAAAAGGTTGTTATCCAAAAAAATCTCATATTTTCTTATGTGAAGTTGGTTTAGTTATCATTTGTTACCAATTCAATTACGTGTTGTGTTTTACCACAGGAAAATCCCACATTTTCCTAATTGTAAGATCGGTTATATATCACAAAGTATAGTTTAATACACAAAACTATATGATGAATCTTGGGATCACTATCCCGAAAGAGGTATAAGATAGTTTGACACATATGAAAGTATAGATTTAAGATCATGGGATTATCATCTCGGACTAGACACGAGATAATTTGATATATATGGAAATATAGATTGAAAACCATGGGATCACTATCCCGTATAAGATATAGATTAAGACCATGGGGGAAAGACATCCCGTACAAGTTATATACTGATTTCATGGGATTATTATCCCGTAATAGATATAGATTAAAGACCATGGGATCACTATCCCGTATAAGATATAGTTACAAAACCGTGGGATCACTATCCCGGACTAGATATAAAATAGTTTGATGATACCATGGGATCACTATCCCGAAAGAGATATAGAAACAAAACCATGGGATCACTATCCCGTATAAGACATAGATACAAAACCATGGGATCACTATCCCGAAGATATAGATATAAAACCATGGGATCACTATCCCGAACGAGATATAGTTTCTAAACCCAAACTGTGAATAAGCTAATATTAATACATGTTGTGAGTCGGGTAACCATACTAATACGACAACGTGACCTCCTTGACGTTTGTCAGACGTCGAAATGATATCCAGAAATTTGTCACCCCAGGCGTGCCCGCCTAACTGTAGCTAGCAGTTAAGGTGTGGGATTGTCAGTCCCAAATAGATCTATTCACAAATTCCGCGCTCTCCCTCCAGGAGACTCTGGTTACACTTCCGGGGAGGATTTACTGATCATCCATAAAGGGTAGTGACTATCTCACAAACCAGTACTAAACTATTCACAGGGTTCTCATAAGATATCGACATACAGAAGATTATGAACCATAATATAGTAAATATAGATACATACAATGAAATTATCTGACAATACATTCAAATGATACGGAGATAAACTGAATCAGACATAGTTTATCTTATAACTTGATATAGATATCAACATATGATAGAAAGAATAGTAAAGATCCCCAAATTATACCCATAATAATTTGATTAGTTTGGTTATTTCCTTAACTAAAATACATTTAGTTGTAATTGATAAATCATTCCTTATGCTCAGCATAATACATAAGGAGTAAAAGAGTTTATAAGTTTGTCAGATATAATTTGAAACATATCAATGTTATGATTTGAAAACAGTTATAGTTTGCTTGTATTCCCCCCCTGAAAACATTGAAAACAGTGAAAAAGCCGTAGGGGTATGAACTCACCGGACGAGATATGAGACGGTTTGGATGCTAAGAGTTGATCCGGAACTTGTAAACACATGAGGTTCCTAATTATGATGTAAAGATACACATTTGTATCTAATTAGGACTTAGATTGATTGTTGGATAGGGACAAATGCTTCAAGTCGTGAAAACACTTCGATACAAGTGTTAGGAGGGACCCGGGTGGCGTTTAAGGATGGGAATTGAAGCGAGGGACTTGGGATTTGAGTTTACTCCCCATGAATAAACTTATACAAGAGTTTTTGGTCCAAAACACCCATTCCCCATGAGTTTACGGCCGTAAACTCATGGTGGGGGTGGTTTATGGTGCTAAATGACTTCAAACACTTAGGGGATAATTTCTACACTTGGTTTAAGGACTTGAAATGATTTTAAAACATCAAATAGACCCACTTATGGGAGTTTACGGCCTAGCATGGCTTCATGGCCGTAAACTCCTATTTTCTCATGAAAATAGTGTTAAATGGTGCTAGAACAAATCACATGTGATTGGTAAAATTATTCCAAGGCCTAACATGAGTTTGCATGGGACATTTGAGGGGTTTATGGAGTTTACGGCCTATGAGACCCCCTCATGGCCGTAAACTCTTCTATAGGGTGATACAAAGTGTTTTAAGGCTTAAAACTTGCATGAAAGGGCTTCTAAAATTCATCTAAAAGCTTTAGGGGTGTTTAGTTAGCATTCTAACATCATGAATCAAGGAGTTTACGGCCCAAGCACAAGCCTTGGCCGTAAACTCTTAGAAATCCCACAAATAATGTGTTGAAGGCCCTTAAACTATTTTTGGTTGGTCCTATGATTTATTCCAAGGCTTTTGGTGGTGTTGGATGGCTTTCTAACACCTTAGAATTGAATTTATGCCATGTTTTAAGGAGTTTACGGCCCAAGCACATGCTTTGGCCGTAAACTCACATAAGTCCCTTAAAAATCATGTTTCAAGTGTCCAAATGCTAAAACCAATGTTCTATAATTCATATCTAAGCCATACTAGTGATTTGGAAGGGTTTAAGGTCAAGAAAACCCCTTCAATATGAGTTTACGGCCCAAGCTTGTGCCTTGGCCGTAAACTCCTTCAAAGTCTTCAAAATTCATGTTTTAAATGTTCTAAGCCCATATCTTGAAGTCCCTTAGCCATATCTAAAGTCCAAATGAGTTTAGGAAGGAGTTTAAGGGCTTAAAACCCTTCAAATTGGTGTTTACGACCTAGGCAGCCTCCTGGGCCGTAAACTCATATATGTTGTCCCATTTCATGATTATATGTCGAATTTGGAAGCCAATTATGCTATAGATTAAGGCCAGGAAGGTACCTTAGGGATTTGAGGCCTTAAATTTAAGTTTTGGACTCTTAAACTTGGATTTAGGAGAGAGGTTAGAGAGAGAGTAGAGAGAGAAGGAAAAAGCTTCAAATGGATGCTAAAACAAGTTTATATAGGTCTTAAAACTTGTGCGTGGAGGAATTCTACCCGATACCGACGTTAAACGCGACTTTTGGTCGCACCCAATTAAGTTTCCGTCACCCGGCGGGGACATTTCTAAAACTTATGAAAATAATGATTTTGGGTTAATAACATAAGTTCCTGAGTGATTTAGACACTCATTAAATTAAAATAATCATATAAGTTTGAATAATTAACTCCAAAGAGAAAACGGAACGAATTTGATAACGGCGACTTTTCGGGTAGAACGGGTTTTGGCGACGAACAATTTCGGGTTGTTACATTATCCCCCCGTTAGAGGGAATTTCGTCCCGAAATTCAAAGAATAAGATATAGATCATGAGTTTGAAATGAGACACGAATGAATTTGTTACTTCGGATCTTCACTTTCTCAAGTGGAATCGGGTCTCTACTGGGCGTTCTAGTGAACTCTCACTATCGGAGCGTGTCCTTGTTTTGTACCTTGACTCTCTCTCAATCTATGTTATCAATCGGTTTTTCTAATGGAAGTTCCAACCCCGGGCGACTTCGGTTTCCTCAAGGAATCACTAGGGTTTCG